AAAAAAAAAAAAACTACTAATATAAGTTGGGCCTGGTGGAACATGATCACAAATTGAAAAGCTAAAAGCTCGATGATAATGTAAAGCAAGTTTATTATGATCTAACACAGGAACGTGAGATTATAACGAAGCTATATTGATGCATAGCATGAATGAGTTAACTCTGAGACAGGCACACGTGTTCTGCTGGCTCCCTGCTCCTCTGCTGTTCCACCAGAATAAGCTGTTACGGAATTCATCAGTACCTGTTTAAGTCTACGATGTATTTGTGCACACTTTGAAAGGCTAAATAAAATCTGGTCACAATTTCGATGTTGTTTTCCCGAAATTCTTCATCTAAATCCTGCAGCTCAGGCTTGGCTTCCAGTTTGCTTTCCCAGAACTCTGGACCCTGAGAAGGAAACACAGCTGTGTTAAAAGTCAGCCAGAGGCCGATCCGCTGGGCACAGTTCCAGGTTGCCTTAAAATTGTGCTTCAAGGTTCTCATGCATCGAAACTAAAGCAGAGAGGCAGAAAGTAAGAAGGCCCTGCATGCCTAGACTCAAAAAGCCTCTGTGTGAATCTCAACCAAGGTTAGCACACTTTTAAATGCATCTCAAGGCAAAAGCCATTATGTTATAGGTAGTGGTTTATACTGTATTAGGACTTTCCGTACAGTATCCTTCCTTCCCTTATTTCCAGCTTAGGAGTTAACTTTGGTTGAAAAGCTGTCTTTTTAGTGCTCCATAACTAACTTGACTACCTCAAGCCTCACAGCTCCCACAGCAAGGCTGCTTTTGTAAAAGGGACAGGACTTTCCGAGGCCACGGGGGAAAGTACCTTGAAATAGCTAAAGTCAAATATGATGTCTCCGTATCTCTGCTGGTCGGCGCGGTCTTTCAGCCGGAAGACGGCAGGGATAAACTCCGACAGCCGCAGCACCTCGGCAATGATGGCGTTGCCGCAAGAAACGATCCTGAGGATCGCCTGGCCACAGAGGTTATTCTCCGCCAGGAAGTCCAACATGGTGAGGGCGACCCGCTATTCCACACCGGGATGGTGGGAATGGGTAACTGGTCTCAGAGCTGGGGTCTGTGGATCACGAGGCGAAGCCAGGACTGGAGACCACTTGGCTGCTCCATTAAAGACCCTGCAGTGAAAAAAAAACAGAGAACTTAACAATTGTTTAAGAAATGTGTGTACATGCTTTTGAAGTACAGATCCAGCTCAGGAGAACTATGCCACCGAGCCCCGGTATGAGGAAAAGGAAGGCATTCATGCCTGTTCAGGGAGAGAGGAAATGTGGTGCTCAGGTTACTTCCTTCTTTCCCTTTTATTCGGTTTGGGACTCCAGCCTGTGGATGACTTCCCATATTCAGGGACATTCTCCCCTTCTCTGTGGAATCCCTCTTCACAGCATCAGAAAAGTAACCAAGACAATGCTCAAGGAATGACAGAGTGACGAGGGCGTGTGGAGCAGAGTGAACAAGGGGTAGACCAGAGCTAACGGGGATGGACCGGATCAGGTCTGCAAGCAAAGGACGCTGGGAAGTCACGACAGCTGCCTGGAACTCCTTCACCAGGGAACCCTGTAATACACACCATGGCACACACTCTTTTTTTTGTTTTTTTAAAGATTTTATTTTATTTATTATGCATACAACATTCTGCTTC